ACACACCACACACACACACACACACCCCCTCCCCCTACACACCACACACACACACACCACACACACACCACACATACACACACACACATGCGCGCGCAAACACCCCTCCCCCACACCCCCCCACACACTCACGTGCGCGTGCACACACCACACACACACACCACACACACTCACGCACACACACACACACCACACACACCACACGCACACACACCACACGCACACACACCACACGCACACACACCACACGCACACACACACACCCCTCCCCTCTCCCCCCGTACCGCCCTCGCTCATTCTCGCAGAACCTAATTAGTACCCTTGAAGAAGGAGATCAGCTTGAATTAGTTCCTGGTGATGATGTCCGCAGCGGCTCTTCCGGGCACATTGCATTTGAAAGCTTGTGGAAGCCCGCACCCAGAGGGCAGCCCCCGCGGTCCCATTCCAGGACCCCTCCCTGTTTTTATTGGAGAGTAAAGGGGTCGCATGGCCAGACCTCATCCCTGCGATGGTGCCTGCCCCAGCCTTGGATGAAAGTCCTGGGGAGCATATTTAAGCATTTTCAAAGTTCATGAAGAATCCCATCACACACTAATAGAAGAGCAGGTTTGCACTGATAGAAAATTCCACAGCCTCTGCATCTCAGACAGTTGCTAAAAGGATGTGTAAACATTCCAAGGCCTGTGCCAGTCGCCAGGTGACCAGGATGGACCTGCAGGGCCGTGTGTGGTTGTCATCTGCTGCCCCTCATTTGCGCGTGGCTCCATGTCTTTAGGAAACAAATTGGCGGGCTCCTCAGGGGTCATGAACGTGATATTGTTTAAACAGACTTGCTTTTATTTTTAAGGTTTGCGTACATTAAATTGCTGTGATTCTATAACAAATTATTATTAATGGACTATAATTAATAAAATGGCTTGAGTTTTCTTTGAAGGCTTGTGCCTTTGACAGGGACCATTTTTCATCTTGTTAAGGGTTAGAATTGATTTACTCTTCACGGGGTAAATGAATTCAGCGGCGGCCACTGGGGCTCGCGCGCTAATGACCGTCTTGTGTGTTGGTGTTTACGGCGTGTCCTCCCCCAGGGCCCGACGCAGAGGCACGTCCAGATAATCATGGAGAAGCTGCTGCGGACAGTGAACCGGACGGTCATCTCCATGGGACGGGACTCCGAACTCATTGTAAGTCCTCGGGGACATGTGCGTGGGCACGTCACTGTGGCTAAGGGCCTCTTTCCTGGGAATGTCGTTGACTGTGCCGCCTGAAAATCCACCTGGTCCTTTCCTTTGCCTTTGGAACTAAGCTCGTGAGCGGATGAGGTGCTTTTCTTCATTTATTTACAGTCTGGTGTATACAGCGCGCTCATTTCCCATGAGTTTAGACGCGAGGGTCCAAGTTGGAGGGTGACCAAGCCAATGTTTCGGAGACAGAAGTAGTATTAGGTTCTAATTTCCTCATTACTTCTAGCGAAGTTTGTGTGTTTTTTTTCTAAGAACTCATTCTTCTGGCAGTTTCTTTCCATGTATTCACATTTAAGATACTATTCGTAAAATGTCATGACAGACCTTAGAAAGTAACTGAAGGCCTCCAACTTAGCTGTTTTGTTTACTGCTCTAATGTCCTGTTTCTCTTACACAGATTCCTGAGGCATGGGATGGTATCTATTTTATTTTTTCCAGGAAATTTCTAATAATTTAGACAGTCTCACATTTTATATTATGGTGTCTTTTTCCTAAAGTTTATTGCTTCCCTCCTCATCCGCCATTATTCTTAAGTTGGGTTTCTTAGGCAAAATATGCACAAGTAGGTCCCATTTAATTTCTTTCATTTCTCATACATGATACCATTTAAGTGTGTTTGATGGCATTTCAAAAAAAGAAGAAAAATCACTTTCCTAATCAAAGAACAGAAATTCCAGTTGGAGCTTCCACTGGCCATCGGATTGGGCACATCGGTCTTCTCTGTGTGGCCTCAGTTCTCTCTGCATGTCATCAGAGTGGAGCCAGCAGGGTGACACATGTCTCCTTCAGAGGGCAGAGCCGGGACGCGGCACTGGGCTTGTGCTGCTTTTGGTGGCCGATTTGACAATAAAGGGTGCAGTTTGCGTGAATACAGATGGGGGCACGGAAGTCAATAATCACTCCCTAGTATGTTTCCTCCCAGTGAAATAATCCCGTCTGTGTGTCAGCACTCCTCACGTTACGTTTAGATTTTCCTTTTGAAGGTATATCTCATTCAGGTTTGGACTAGAATGTGTGTAAATGAGAAAATAAAACATTACTTATAAATTGGCTTTATTTACAGTGGGCTTTTTCGTTATTCTGTAAACGTTCACGTGTCGGCCTCTTCATGTTCCTCATCATAACTACTGTGTAGCCTTGAAACACCTTTATCAGAGTTGGGGGAGACTGAGCCCCATAGAGCAAGACTTGGGGTGACTCCAGGAGCACTCCCGACATCGGGTGATCCTGCCTCCCTGGGCTTGTTCCTTTGAACACTGTCACGTTGTGGAAATGATAGTGGACCTTTAGTAGGATGAGTGAATGACATGTGGCTTGAAACGGAACTAAGTTTTGTGTCACTGTGCTAAGACCCCTCTTGGAATGGGCTGGATTAGAGGGGTTGGGGGTGACATGAGCGCACTCATGGGGTTACAGTGAGTGAGTGATGGGCAGATGGGGGCGGTGGCTGGTGTGGGCAAGTGAACTGAAGCCATCCTGTCTCTGGTTGGGGGCTTGACTCCAGGTGTGTGTTCACTGTGGTCACAGCCCACTGGCCAATAGTCACTTGTGGAGAGGAGGGCAGGGAGGACACCCATAAAGGTTTGGATGGGTCCTTGAACTTGGAGAGACTGTTAGACACGCTCACAGCTCAAGCAAAGGATCTAGTGAAGGGAGGATGGAGCGTGGTGTCTCCTCTCAGACCATGTGGCCCAGGATGCCGTTGGGAAGTGACTCATGTCTCAGGCATAATGATACTAGTGACAATGATATTAGCTGCTCTTCATCGAGCACCTCTTCATGTGCCCGGCACTGTATGACGAATGGCAAGATGCACATTTAATTCTCACCTTCATCATGCCTGTGCAAGTCAGAAACTGCCCGCGCAGACACAGGAAGTTGTTCTAAATCCCGCATCAAGCATGCCAGCTCTCATTGGGAGCCCGGGTTCCGTGCTGGAGCTGCTGCCTTCGTCTCTTTTGTGAGACTGAGACTCGTGCTGCTGACCTCAGTGTGTGCCGGGAGGTATCGAAGGGGACTCTAACTCGCACCTGGATCTCCATCCTCATTGGGAGGCAGCTGTCCAGGACGCTAGGCACCTTTCCATCACCCACCTTTCAGCCATTTCCCCACGTCAGATGCTAGGATCTCCTGGCGGTACAAAGGTCAGACTGAGAGTTGAATGCCTGTTTCCTGGAGGGCGTGGAGGAACCTGTGTTCCGAGGAGCCCTAGGAAGGTCCAGAGCAGAGCCCTTGCACACCCTGAGAAGGTGTGACAGTAAGGACCCAGGCCCAACCTTCCCCAGCTGTGGCCTAGGTCCTCCTGAGCAGTCGGCAGTGCCCGTGGCCAGCTGCCCACATCCAGGCCCATTTCGCTCCTCCCGGACCTTCTCCAGGAGTCTCCGGAAGCAGGAAGTGGATATAGGGCCTTACCTGACTCCTCAGAATTCCACCATCTCCAGTATCTATAAAAGGAGTTCAGAAATTCCATTTGTCATGGAAGGAATCTCAAAAACAAATCAATTCTGAATAAGCTATGATTGTTTAATGAGCATTGATGACAGCCTCAAGATGTTTTTAGGAAGGGGATTGGCTGTTTCAGATGAGAGTTGGTCAGAAGGCTCTGTCAGTCACCAAGGAGCCGTGTGTTCCTTTGTGATGTCCGCAGAATGGTCAGACCTGGCTCCCTGCTGTGCTCCGAGGTAGGCTTCCGCGTTGGCTCCTTAATGGCACTGTTGTTGCTCGGTGAATGTACATGAGAGGAAGATCTGGGGGAAAACGTCCCTGACAAGGTGGACAGAACCCTCATCAGCGGGCCTCTGGAGTGGAAAAGGCCGAGGAAATGGTTTATAGGCCTGTTTGGGTAAGCGGTAACGTTCCGTTGTAACACGGAGGCTTCAGTCCGTAGTGCTTCATACTCTTTTGTATTTTTTTTCTTTTTTTGCATAAATGGAATGGAAATGCTGTAACTATGAACTGGCTTAAAAATTTTAAGTAATAACTGGAAATGGACTTAAAAAATTTAGGTGATAAAATTTTTTTTTTTAAGGTTTTTATTGGGGAATCAGGGAAGGGGAACAGACAAGTTGCTGTCTTTTGGTTCTTCAGTCTAGTTGTGGAGGACGTCGCTTCACTGGCCATGTTGGTATTATCATTGTGCTCTTCCCGGGTGAGGCAGTCACTTGCCGGCCATTGGACAGCCGCTCACTGCGGCTCACAGCAGCTCACGAAAGCGCTTGCTAGCCCCACTGGAGCCTACGCCGTCACCGGCAACTCATGGCAGTCCAGCTCCAGGTTGAGCTGTTGTTCACCATCTTAGCTGTAGAGGGCGCAGCATCACTGGCCCTCATGTGGGATCTGAACCAGAGCCCTGCTGCTCAGAGCTGGCGTCCCAAGCCAACTCCTAACCAACGTGCCACTCGGCAGTTCCAATAAAAATGTTTTGAATAGATACGCTTCACATAATGATTTATTCCATGACGTATCAACAATCACACTAGAGATGCGACCTCTGTTTCCATGGGAACAAGTTCCTGGGAGGTGGTTGTGGTCTGACTGTGTCTCTATCAGTTTATGATGGAATTGAGACCTGGGAATGTCACAGGTCATCAGATGAGCTGTGACGTACGCTATAATTCTTTCCTTTGATCTGTACCCATGGTCTTCTGTAAAACACTATGCAGTTGCTTTTATATCATTTGTTTTAGTTCATTTTATACTTTTCAACATTATATTTGACATGGGCTATCGGAATACACCTCATGCCTAGGATAAAAATATGCTACGATCCTAAGTATTATCCTTTTTAAAAAAATAGAACTCCATCTGGCAGGTGCAGCATCGTAGATCATGTGGATGCCTAAAACAGGCCCCAAAAGAGATGCTTGGCGGTAGGTAACCTTGCCACACTGTTAAGATGCTGTTTTATCTTAATTCCAGTGTCCTCTGATACTGCAGAGTAATTGAGCGAAGTGCCTACTTTTCTATTGTCTGATTTCATTGTATTTTTTATTTCTCTTGGGAAAGCTTTCTTGGCCCTCAGTATTAGGCAGCATTCCTTGTCTGGTAAGTTCTGAGCAGGTGGCCATGGCGGGTGAGGTGCTCTCGTCGCGTGGGCAGCTGGCCTGACCAGCCATCAGGTGGGCGACTGGGCACCCCCTTTCCCCCTTGTCTTTGCTGGAATACCCCCTTGTACACAGAGCTGGATTGTGAGCAGATGAAATGAAGAATCCTCAGGAAGTTTCCTTCTGTGATATTAGCTGCTGCTGCTGCTTCCAAAAGACCAGATTTACTTTCTGTTAATGGGTCCTTTACAAATGTAATGGAGCGAGAAGGGCTTTTACAGAGTTTTCTATGGCCTGGATACACACCAGAAGACTGGGAATTACCAGTGCCCGGAAAGGAAAATGGGGGCCTCTTGTAAGGAACGGCCCCCGTGGAAACCCCACAGAAGCAGGCTCAGGAAAGGGGGACGTCCTGCCTGCATTCTCTGCTTGCACTTGTGACCATGCCACCTCCTGGCTCCCTAGACCTGGTGATGGGACTTAACTTTGTTTCTACTCTGAACTCCAGCTGCTGAGGACACTCACTGCGGGGGACGCTGATGGGTGGGGTGTGTTTCATCGTGACGTCAGCATCATTGGTGGGGAAGATGCTGTCAGTGAAAACGCAGTACTCCTTTTGAACCTGGGGGACTTACAGGGACCCACCATGCTTGTCTTCCTTTGGAAACAGTGTAATAGAAACGCCCTTTCAGGGAGTAGAGCCCCTTTCCCGAGGCTCGTAATCAAGTCTCTTCACAAAGGTGTTAATGGCTGCATGCGTGAGCATTTGTTTTGCAATGTTTGTTCTAATGGAGTTTATGAATGAATGTGCTCTTTAAAAACGGCCATATGAATTTTCATTTTGCAAAGGAAAGTAGTACTTTACAAAGCTTCAAGTGGACAGTGTCTGGATTTTGTATACAAGAGTCATCAAAAGTGTGTCTAATGGTATGTTTGGTAATAAGTCTACTTCAAAAACACGCGGCTTTCAGAAAGTCATCCTGACACGGGTGCACGCATCAGCTGCGATGACTTGATAAAAACTCATTGTTATTGGTACAGCAGTTTTTTTCCTGCCTTTCTCAGGTTTCTCTGGCCCTTAGTATTTTGTCAAGATTAGTCACCGACTGTGGATTTACTGCAAAGGAAATAAAAACCCTGTCAGTGCCCGGGTAACATGGGCTCTGCATTTCTTGCATATTCACATGCAACCGCAAAGGTATCTTAACTTAATTGTCCAGTGGCTGCCTTCACAGGCCCTTCTCATCTGTCAAAATGGCTGCTGCCCATCCCAGCGTGGTCGTTTAACACCAATTCACAAGACGGAATGTTATTTCTGAGTCATATAGCTCCTTTCTTCCAGTAAATAAACTGGTTGTACACGTCGCCCATGCCAGATGTGCTAGTGGCAGCGTTTTCTAGGCAAAATGAGACGTGTTAGTGTGGGAGGCGGCTGTTGTGATCTTCAGGTGACACCGCACCAATGACACTGCCTCATCCAGTGGTCACATCACATTCGACTTGCTGATGAAAATGCTCCTAAAAGTCAGCCCACCTGGGTGGGCTTGGGAAACGCGCTGCGCTGTTTGGGACAGGGTGCCATGGACCAGCTCGCAGCTGATGCTTGTTTGCTTTGTGTTCTTACCCTGTCCCTGAAAGGCAGAAAGCCAGGACTGCACTTGGTCGGTGTGTAACCGAGGACTGTATCTGCGGAGCAGTGCCTGGGATGGTACCCAAGGAGACCAGCCTGCGAGGCAGGCTCACTGGTACCGCTTGAGATGGGAATCCGTCTGCCTGATGTTGGTCCATTGACACCACGCCTCAGATCTCCATGGCAATGGGCACCTTGGCAACCTTGTAGGATGCATGGGAAGCTTCTGCCAACTTCCCAGGCCCTTCTCAAGACGGCACGGTTTTTCCCCACCTTGATTCGCTCCGCCGGAGCCAGGGGAAGGTGTGACGGTGAAGGGACAGGTGCAGAGGTCCTGGGACCCCTCCACCCAGAGGCACACGGTCAGGGCCTGGTGGGCACCTGCGTGGCACAGTGTCCTTCATTGTAGCTCGTGGTTATAAGAGACCCTCCACCCAGAGGCACACGGTCAGGGCCTGGTGGGCACCTGCGTGGCACAGTGTCCTTCATTGTAGCTCGTGGTTATAAGAGAGGACCTCTGAGGCAGCAGCAGTAGTGGCTCACAGATGGTTATAGCATGCGACCTGGAGTGTCCCCGCTATTGTCTGGGTGGTGCTTTGGGACTTAACCCCCCATTCTGCACATGAGTTCCACTCATCCTCCTGTTTTCCCTGTGGAACTTGTGAGGGCGGTGGGAGCCTTCTTTCTCAGCCTACAGTGCCCCCCCACCCCCCATCCGTGTAAGTAGACTCTGTTGTGCAGAGCCCAGGAAAGGGGATGGGGACCTCCTCTCCTGGGCTTCCAGGCAGACCTCTCCCTTGGGGAAGGGGGAAGTGGGCTGGTCTCCATGAGAGGGGTGGGGTGCTCAGCACAATTAGGGTGGTGGTCTTCCTCCCTGGGAAGGGAAGAGGAAGGGAAGGCGGTGGCTGATCACCTGGGGCTGGACCTGCTTATGGGTGATGGAGATAGAGGCTGTCTTCATGGGGCCATGGCAGGGTGTGCCATGAAAATACTGATGAGTTCGGTTGTCTGTATGAGGTTCTTTAAAAATTAGGTGTCAGGTAGCCGGTCCTCTGTGAGCCTGTGTGGTGCCCAGTGCCCTTAAGAAGTCATCCTGTCCTGGCAGCTGAAGCCCATGCCTGGGTACATGGTGTGCTTAACTGAGTCCCCCTGGGTCTCAGCCCCACGCCCTCCTCAGCCAGGCCAGGCAAGGGGGCGGTGCCCATGCCTCCCGGTGCTCTCATCTCCGTGAAGCCTCCATGAAGTTGTGTTCAGCCTGAACATCCTTCCTTTGTTATTATTTTCTTACATTTCTTCTGTTTTCCCAAATTACTGAGCCCATGAAATAAGTTTAAGCACCACACAAACCATTACCTTTGATTTTTTTATTTAAAAATTAATAAAGAACTTAGTGACAAGTATAATAATTTAATCTCTATACGTAATGCCATGGGTACATCTACATAGGAGGGAACACTGTACTTGTTACCTTGGTTTTGTATCAAAGTTTTTACTTAAATCTTTCTAAGAGAAGAATCATCACCTGTTAGTGACACACTGCAATTAAACTATGAAATGATTTTGAAAATATTTTTTCCTATTCTGAAGACAGAATATATATAGGAATTAGTGTATCTTCAGTCTCCTTTTCGACTCTGAATTTTTTTTTCTTTTTTTGCTCTAGACTGCTTTCAAACAGTGATGTTATTTTGTTCACTAGGATGTCCTCTTGTTTAGACAGATTTATAGTTCTAATTAGAAAGCTGCTAATACCCTTATTTCAATTCACTGAGATAGTTGGGATTCTTAAAACACAAGGAGAGATAACTGATCGCAAACATTTTTGTAACGTTGGTTAAAAAGAGTATAAAATACATGAAACAGAGTTTTTAAATTTTATGTCTACAGGAAACAATTGCACTTCCTTCTTGGTACAGAAGCGACGTGTTCATCCTTCTTTTGCACAAAAATATTTCTCGGTTCTGTTTACTGATATTCCAGGATTTGTATCCTCGTCTAGTGTTTCCACAAAAGATGTGTATTTTTCTTTTAATTAAAGCATACATCTGTGGTGTAGCTAGAGTAACCCCCAAAGAATGTTTACACAATATGCTCTTTTCGTTTATTTCAAGTTCAGGTCTGATTGCTGATCATAGGTCCTTGTCGAATCAAAACACTTAGAACTAAAGTAGATTTGCTGTTGAGTCAGGAGGAAAATGCACAGCAACAAAGAGCTCCAATCTGACAAATGCAGGTGGAGATCCTTCTATGGAGGGGCCACTTTGTTTTTGGCGTCTAGCCGATGGGGAAGGCGTGTCCACACTAGATCAGATATGAAACTCTTGGACAGGAACTCGAAGACTAGGTTTTCTTGTATATTCACAAACTATTCAAAATTTAAGTTATGCCAAAAAAGGCAAAATAAGATCCCTGCTTCCTAGTGTGAAAAGCACAAATGGATAGACAACATCATCAGTAGACTAGGGGCTTTTGATTTCTATAAAAAGATACTTGCAAAGGTGCAAAGGAATGAGTGAAAAAATAAAGAACTAAGATTTATATTGCAATGTGTCATCAAAAGAGAACTCTAAGTGTCACTGTTTATTTAAAAAATACCTAAAAACATTTGATTCACAGCTTTCCCCTAGGTATTTCATTTAGTACAACTTACTAACCGGTTAAATGGAGGTGATATTAATTTGTCCAATGGCAGCAGCTAACCTAACCACGCTGTTTCTCCTTGAGATGGTCGGGTCTTCCACCACTGGTACGAGGCATACTAAACTGTATGAAACATCTGCCTGTCCTTCTGGCGAGCGTCAGCGTCTCAGAGATTGATCCACAGAAATACCTTCCAGCGGCAGAGCGAGCCTGTGATTTATGGGTGACTGTATCATCTATTGTGTATCTCTGTGTGTGTTTTCACATTTCTGCCAGCATTTATCATTTGGCCTTTGGGTACCAAAAGATTAAAAATGAGATCTAAGAAAGCTTTAGTGTCCAATAGCTCGGACCCTGTCAACTTGCAGTGATTAAAGGCATGTCCTGACTTTGGGGGACTCCTGGCTGCTGGCCGGAAAAATGAGCAGTAAACATGTCGCATGTCTGGAGACGTGGAGAATGCTAAATTTGAGGTGTCCCTGTGACGCTGAGATGTGGTCACTTGGCTTAGCGCTACAGCACAGGAAGGCAAATACACATAGAGTCACATTTTAGAGATTATTCATGGTCTCTGACCACTTGAAAAAATTGTGCTTTCTCCAGAATTTGATGTGCTGAAAATTGCACTCACCCCCTGCTTATTTGCAAAATGAAACGTAAAAATGAAGTCCTTTGCAAACATAAGGCTTGCTTTTTCTTCTCATTATTAAAAAAAAAAAAAGAACCCAAAACATAAAGGTTTGGAAATAAATATGAGTTTTAGCTGTGTATAGAGTGACAAGCCTGCTGCTCTGCAGGTTGATAATACTTGCCGATCTGGGGTGGGGATAGAATTTTGACTTGTCATCTGACTACGTAAGTTTCGTTTCAGACTTTACATCCCACATCCACGAACTGCAAAGAACAGCTGGCAAGGTGTGACACTGAATGCCTTGCTTTTCTTAATGATCTGTTAGTACAAAGGCCTTTTTGGTAAGCAGGGTGAGAACGGGGTGACACAGAGTCAGCCACAGTTCCCTCGACCCTATGCGTTTTGGAAAAGGATTTACTTAACTCCCGTGGGTTTTAAAGACGGCCTTTAGACTCCAAACACCGTGAGTTTTAAAGGAACCAGAGTTTCCATCTTCCATGCTTTTTAGATTCAGTTTTGGGTTTTTGCTTGGGAGTTGAGGAGTACGTCTCCTGAGAGTAAGGCGAAGGTGCAACCTGAGTTTCCTCAAAAGGATGGAGATTCCTCAGAACAGGCTGGAGTTTGTCTTCTTGCTGCTTAAAATCTAGCTCCACACTAGAAAGGAAAGAAGGACAAGTTTAGTGCTTGGTCTTTCATATACAAAGATCCCCCTGAGTGACAGCAACATTCGGTAACATTCTACCAATGTAATGATCATTTGTTCTGTGTTTATAATGCTATTTTGTGACTCAGTATTAAGCACTTGGCTGTATAATATGTTTTAGCTCTATGTCACTGTGAACTGCACTTGACCCTTGAACAACGTGGGGGTTAGGGACACTCTCCCCCATTGTGGCTGAAAATCTGCATGTATATTTCAACTCCCCCTAAAGCTTAACTACTATTAGCCAACTGTTGACCAGAAGCCTTACTGATAACATAATCAGTTGATTACCACAGATTTTTTATGTTCTATGTATTATATACTGGATTCCTACAATAAAGTAAGCCAGAGAAAATAAGACATTATTAAGAAAATCATAAGGTAGAGACAATATGTTTACGTTATTTATTGAAGAAAATCCTTGTAAAGCAGACCCACACAGTGCAAACCCACGTTGTTCAGGGTCAGCTGTGTTTCACATAGGTTGATTTTCTTTAAAAACTAACTTATTTGCTTTCCTGGGGAACCTCTGACTTGTTCATGAATGCCATTGGTGCTAAAGTATACGCAGTCGGGCTCCACATAACGACCTTTTGGTCAACAACAGGCCGCATGTATGATGGTGGGCTGTAAGACGATGATGGAGCTGAATATGCCTATCCCCTAGTGATGTCGCCGGTGTCATCATGTCACAGCGCAGCACATTGTTCATGTGGTGGTGGTGATGCCGTGTAAACAGACCTACCGCACTGCCCGTCATATAAAAGTATAGGAGATACAATTATGTACAGCGCGTGACACTTGATAATGATAATAAACAACCCGGGTACTGGTTTATGGGTTTACTAAGCTATCTTTTTTGTCGTTCCTTTAGAGTGTACTTTTTCTACTTATCGAAGAAAACGTTTGCTGTAAAATATGCCTGTTACACTGGCGGCTGCCTCACACGTCTCGTGTTTACCGCGCCTCTGGTTGCATTATTTTCTCTTGTGCTTGATGTAATCTCTTGTTGTTTTGTACAGCAGTGTGCTGTAAGGCCCGCAGCCCAGGAGCAATGGGCTGTTCCACACAGCTGAGGTGTGCAGTAGGCTCTGCGTCTAGGTTTGTGTCGCTCTGTGAGGTTCACACAACGATGAAATCGTCTGATAATGTATGTCTCAGAATGCACCCTGTTAAGTGGTGTGGGACTGTAATGTGTCTGCTGAAATGAAAAATGTGACATTTGAGCAACCCTTTTGCTTGTCCACAGACTGCACATATGTGCCTCATGGAATAACAGATAACCAAAAATATGAGTGTTCAGGGGTCATCTTAGTACATATATGTCAGGTACGAAAGCTCTATTACTGTGCAGCTTTTCTCAAGCTCAAGAAGCTGTGAAATGAACTGACCTTGGCTTACATTCTCCTTGTACAATCTGATCCACTAAAAATCTGGGAAGAGCCAAAATATCGAACATTGGGGAAAACAGTGTGTTTCTAAGTCAACACCCCTGGACATCATTCAGTCGTTATCAAAGACGGCTTTCCAGGCAAAAGCCTAGATAGCGTTTAGTGAAAAAACCCCAAATTGTAATTGCTGAAGCCATAGTGTGGGACCATGGAGCCACGTGGGAGGACACGTGCCAATAGTGATAACGTTTGTGTTAGAGGGATGGGATTAAAGATGATTTCTTAAGGATATCTTGTTTCTTATGACATTCCTTTAAAAAGTGCTGTGACTTGCCTGGAGCCCTCTCTTCTCTTCTCGGCTTTGATAAGGACAGCTGTTGATCCCCTAACCTTAACTAACTCTTGAAGGGTCCCCTTGGCAGTTGGGATGGAATGCCATGGCCCAGTGTCATTCTTCTGTCATGGCCCCGGCATCGAGGAGCCTAGCTCCCTCCTGTGTACCCCACGTGTACCCCTATTACGTGACCCTGGGCCTGCACTATGCCAACCTTCCTGAGACTTCCATTCTGTGCTCCTACGTCTGGTCTGGATGCCAGACTAAATGTCAGCAGGTTTCAGTAAAGTCTCAGCGATGATGATAATACATGAGCTCATAACAGTTTATATCCAGTCGAACCGTAAACCATTTATAAACATGAAATCCTATTGATTTAGGGAACCATTAATCCTAGACAAATTTTGACATTTTGAAAAGACAAAACAGCAAAGCTGTATTATCTGGAGTTCTAAAAACAAGTTCAAGACCCGTCTAATGGACCATGTTATGTTTTAAATCCACTGTTCCATTTTTCTTACTGTCAAAGACGAGAATATTACGGAAAAAAATTAAACATATTGTCAGAGAATTTTATGGCCAGTTGCCCCCTGCTCCCAAAGCAAGAATCACTTTCCCCCCTCATTTCAAAGGGCCTCTTTGAGTTATGCTGCAGTTTATAGAGGGGAGAAGAAAAACCTCATGAATTTCTTGTCTTGCTAATCTAGAGCATGTGATAACGGGGACACCGTTCCTTGGAAGGACCGTTGTGAAACGTGCAAATCTTGGGGCGTGCTGTATTTGTGAACTCAACCCCTCAGTTCTGTTACGTGGGCAGCAGGAAGCTCTTGATGCTGTCCTGTCCTGTCCCCTGATGTTGGGGGAGGAGCTGGGGCTCAGAGAAGCCCCTCAGTTTCCTTCATGTCGAGGGGTGCCCTGATGATCTCACTGAATTAGGGAGGGATGCAGCTACCTCCCCAAAGAAGTGAAAAGTTCTTTCTAAACTGTAGATGCAATTCAAATATTATTTTATCTTCATTACTTGTTGACCACCAATTTTGTTTATGGGAACGAGAGGTAGTAGTGATCGAGGTACCTCGAAAAGAATTCCTCAGCTTGGATAAGTGACAAGGAAAACAGCAACCCTGCCCGTGAGTCCATGAGATACCGTCTCCAGTACGGTACGTTAGGAATGAAAGAGTAATTTTATCACGGCGCTTGCTGAAGACTAAAGCGTGCCCTGCAGATCAGAACCATTTCAACAGTCCCAGACAGGTTGTGAGTTATTAGATGGGAGGGTGGGTGCCAGCCTTTCCTAGACTAGCACTACAGTTCTGGGTACCTGTAATTATTGAATTCCCATTAAGCAACTACATTGGGAATCCTGTCATTAACCAATTTATCACACCACAGAACCATGTAATCGCAGAGTAATCTAATCGGAGCCTTGTTAATAGTGACTTGACTTTCCCGTTGAGTTGATTCCTATTTGCGCTCCTCTGATGCCGAGAGGCAGCAGGCAGGAGGGTGTCTTCATGGGGGCGTGTGTAGCCGTGAGCATCGGGTGGGAAGTGCACACAGTGGGGCCAGCGAGGCCAACTTGGGCCTTCTGGGACTCACACGGGGCTGTGCCCCGGCTTTGGGATGATGTGTATGCCCCAGCCGGCACAGGGCTCACTGACGTGTCCCCACGACTAGGCAGGAAGACTGTGCACCGCTCTGTGCACTGGTGGGGGCACGTTTCTCACTGGGGAAGGAACAGCAGTCGCCACCATGACTCAGGAGAAGATAGCTGGCCGGAGAGAGTCATGTACAAACATTAGTAGTCTGGCCAACTCCAGCAGACACAAAGCAAAGGTCCCTTTAGTCTTAACAATCAAATGGCCAGAGGAAGCAGCACCTGCTGTCCTGGTCAGAATAGGGACTTGCACAAAAGCCACCAGTGCCCAGGTATCCATGTCCCCCTCACTCTCCAGCCACCTGCCGAAATATCCCCCATCATTGCTCCTCCCTTCCTTCCTTCCTTCCTTCCTTCCTTCCTTCCTTCCTTCCTTCCTTCCTTCCTTCCTTCCCTACTCTGCGCTCACCACGGATAATTATTTGTTTCTGTATCTTTTTCCCGCCAGCCCCTCAAATGCAGGTGCTGTGACCAGGGAGAATGTTGTCCTTTCTGTGTCCCCAGCGCCCATAGCGCTTGCCTGTGCAATATTTACTGAATTAACAAATGAGCACAAAACCGTAAAAGACTCATTCGCTCTCGGCCTTTGTCCCAGGGGCCCGACTGCTCAGTTTGTCGGTGTGGTTGCCCCCCCACTCCCCACCCCACACACCGGCCCCGCTCCTGGCTCCCTGGGAGGAGGCAGTGCTACTGCACACTCCAGGTGGAATCGGTGGCTCAGCTCCATTCTGCCAGAACTTAATCAGCAGAGGTTCTGAAACCTTTTCTGCAAAACACATACCAGGATCTTTTTGCCACCTGGCTCTGCACTTTCACTCCCTCCTTTCGTTTTTCTGGAAGAGTCTGGAGTAAGATCTTGGGAAGGATGGGTTGGGTCAGCAGGGGTGCTGTGGAGGCCAGCTGCTCCTGTGCTCTGATCAGGGGAACCTGGGGATGTCATTCTATTCGTCTTCCCTTTTTTCTCCCGTGGGCTGGAGGAAGGCTGCACTGGAGACCTGGGTATTGCTTTCTGCAAAAGGTTGCTTCTAAGCCCTGTCAGAGGTCACACACCTCTACCGTGCGGCATGGACCTGCGTCCTCAGAGCAGTTCCAGCACAGACGTAGCCCCCAGTTGGACAGGTCGGGGGTGTGTGTGTACTCCAAGTCTGGGCTCCAGACCTTGTTGTCTCTTAGGCCTCGGCTGGGGGTTGACGCAGATCCCTGCACCCCCCGGGGTCTTGAGCCCAGCATCTCACACGAGGCAGGGGGCTGCTGGTGGTGCCGCTGAACTCCTGTGGGTGCGATCTGGTGTTTGTAATGCACGGTCAGGGGACACACACATCATGCTGCATGCTGTTCCTCGGGACGATAAGCAGTCTGCGAAAAGTCCTGACACCTTGAATTTCAAAGCGTGAGTGTGAAGGACTGGAGCAGGCCAGCCTCACCTGTGCTAGGTGATCTCGCCTTTAATGCCTGAGTCAAAACACAGGCTGCAGACTGTGCTGGGTGAGACGGGACATTCCCAGGGCGGCTGGGGCTGTGGAGCAGACACAGATCCAGGGGAGCCCTTCTTACCTGCCTTTCTATCTT